AAAAAAATCAAACAAGCCATGAGTGGTCATCACTTGTTAATCTTAACTATACCTGCAAAATATCACAAATAACCAAAAACACACACATCAATACTTGTCCTTAGCTGATGAATATATCAACTGACCCAAACTGATTGTCTCAACAGAAGCTACATTTTGATTGAAAGGGTTTCATGAATGTTTGACATGTGTGGTGATGTTTAAGGACAACTTACATGAATATTTTTTTTATTATTATTTTCATTACTGTTATTATGGTGCTTCACAGTTTGCTGGTCCTAAAAGGTACTTTATGTAATTACCCGCTGCGAATCTTAAATAAACCTTGCACCACCAGGGGGCAGTATTTTACCAGGTATGTTGAAATGTTTGATTTTTTTTAGCCCAAGACCACTTTCTGTATCACCCTTTTCCAGGCAAAATGTGTCTTTAATGACTTTCACAGTTAAATAAAGATTATACCGAATAGACATATTCTGTTGATAGTATTAGTTACTTCTGGGAGGATTTAAATGCAGGGATTTACCGCGAGTACCCTTAAGAACTGCATTCGTCTTTATTCACAGACACAGACATACAATGAATGAATCAGTGTATTTGTTTTATTTGCAGTATATTTTATTTTTTTCATTTTTTGAGTTTTTAAGAGGTGGCATCATCAGATCCCAATGCATGTATTCTAGTAGTGCACTTCTTTGTGGGTTACGGTTTTTTGGGTGTCGCAGATCCAGGAAATCTTAAAACTACTTGCATGGCTGGATTCACTAGCAAACATTACAAACCAGCACCATACATATAATGAATTCTCGTAGGTATTGACTCATTTTTTGTGTGAGTTTCTTAACAATATTATTCTAAGCATGTCCCCAAATCAAAAATCTGTCACCCATGTGTGAGTCAAAGAACTTTCGGTCTCTGCATCAAACTCCAGGTGAAAGACTTTCTTTGTTTCTTTGTTTTTTGACGGGTAAGACCAAATACGTAACATTTTGACTATAAACAAGTCACAGAAATAAAAACTGATCTTATTCATTTAAAAAAACAAAATCAAAACATGGATTGACAGTACCAAACATTTTCTTTACCTTCAGGAGACAGCTAACAAAGGCTAGGCCCATCACATACTACTCGCACAGTTTGCTGAAGGTATTGCACATTTAGTTCAAAAACAAAAAGAAAACAACAAAAAAAAAAAATATACATATAACAATTCTCTTACTTCTAGGTGAAGTATACATAATGTACAAAACTAGAAGTCTGTTGAAACCGACAAATAGTACACTTTCAAATAAATAAATAATGGAATCTGTTATTCACATGTCTTCGATAGCTAATTCTGCAGGCGACTATATGCAAGAACAGGCAGAAATTCAGTGTGAGGTAGTTCATCAAAGCTGACTTGAATCAGAATGAAAGTGGTTGAGAGATGTAATAATGACAAAAACAACAACAACCTCAGAAGAAGAAAATACTCCAATTATTTGTTTCTACCGATGGGCTAAGAAAATTAAGAGCACTTTACAGAACATCTTTCTTTTCAGCTAATATGACAATTTGATGCATACCACTGCTTCTCTGCATTAACTGTGTCATTTAAAAAAAATCAATTTTTAGTTTACAACATTTAGTTAGAAACTAAATGACCGCAGGTTGATTTTTTTGTGCTGTATGGGTGAAGCTCCACAGCTGCAAACGCCGTACTTTGTCCTTAAACTTGCAATCTTTTTAATAGCCACGAGTCGGCTATTAAAAATAAAGCTCGGAGAAACAGCACTCTGCTCTGACCTCAGTAAACACTTTCCTGTTTTTATGTAGACATCATCACAGAGACTGTGTCCATCTTTTATACTTTAATACAGTGTAGCTCAGTGTAAACGCTAACATTTGTCTCTTAACACACCAGATATTAAGCTAACACCAGGCTGCCATTTTGGATGCTAACTGTCCTGTAGCTCACTGATAGGGCCAGCTTTTGCTTTGTAATGTAAAATATTAACAACTGTGCAGCTAAGTGATAGCCATGTTTGTCTGCTGATATATGAAATACTATTGGCTGTGTAGCTAAATGACACCAGCGAAGCTAGTAACATGACGTGTATTTGAAGAAAAAAAAAAACCCCAAACAAACAAACAGTTGTTTCGCTAATAAATTACATGCTAGCTCAGGAAAGAAAACATGCCACCCTTTGGGAAAATCTGTTTTGAATAATGTGTGACTGTTGATCTGATAAGTTTGGATCTGATAAGCCTTTGGATAACCAGCTGGCTTATGTAATATGTCCAGCTTAGGACTATTAGCGAGCATTAGCCATCAGACTGCTGCAATATTAGGCGTTTACGTTAATTTTACTACAGATAATTTTTCAGCTATTTAGACATATTTTATGGTTCAACCTTGAGTAAAAACCACTAGATGTAAAGTTACTAGTTACAATAACATATGAATAGGGTGCGAATTCAGAACCTGACACCGACAAGGCCCTCAGTGGTGTTAATATTTGAGAAATCATGCCGTTAATAAATGGTTAAATATCTGGCAGAGAAGTTGCCTGAGTGGAGCTACAGTGTATGCTACAGTCTAAAGATAACGTCACAACTGAAAACAACAGCATGCAGACTGTGTTGTCTTACACAATTTGACAATCCTAGCACTGTAGCATGTACTCCTCTGCTGTCAGCATCCACGAACCACGTGAGAGCGCATCACATAAATAAATATTATGCAAACATTTGGTGGCAGGCAGATTTGCTGCAGGAAATAAGCTAATATGGCTAGCTGATTCAATATGGCAAGGACATTTTTTTCAGTTAATACAAGTGTTATGTGCACTGTGGATGTAGCTGCATGGCTCTGCCTTTTCTCTACTATAGTGTCAATCTGCCTTTCTAATATTAAACTTTATCCAAAGCTTTTTAAAATACTAGCATGAATTCAGTCGCAGAGTTTGCTCATATAGTTTGATCCAGCACTTAATTTTTCTGTCCATCAGTCAACAAATTAAAGGAACTACTTAAAGAAAATTACATGTATAAAAATTGTCATTATTCTACATGTTGGTTGCTGTCACTGCAAAGAAACACTTCTTTTTACTTTGATGAAAGACCTTGATAAAACTGCCTCTTCTTCTGAAATGACTCCAACAAATGCATAAGCACCTCAATGCATACGTCACCACCACCCTCTCCTGCAAGACACCGCAGTCTCTTGCTCAACAGTCCAAAACCAAAACAAGTAGAAAAATATACAACACGCTCGTGAGAACTACGACCTCCCCTCGCACGTCACCGCTCTGACATGGAAACTACTGTTGTTATCCAGAAGCTGACGGATAAAATGCTCCCTCCTACACGCACTCAGGAATGAATGACAAACAACAGGCACTTTTCCTTTCAACACAAAAATCATATACACTTAAAACAGGACGCTATTATTGCATACAGTAAGAAAAAATTTGTTTCTTTTGACTCTGGTTTTTGTGCTGCTAGGTTATATAGAGATAGTTCGTTTGAGCCATAGTTACAGGCAAGTCTAGTTCGCAAAGTGTTCGCTGATTATTACGAAAAAAAAATTGAAAATTAAAAACAAAAACACAGTACTAATAACGGGATCTGAGAGTAAGGAGGCACACACCTTTTACACCTAACCGCTGTCGCTCCGAGATGCCAAATATCAACACGTTCGCATGCGTTCTCAAATATCACGTCGCCCTACTTTACCGAAACACATTCCACTTACGCCATCGCCGACTTCACAACCTCAAACTACTCTACGTCTTACAAAAACCTCCCGAAGCACGATGAAGAACATTCTGAAGTCCTGAATTGATACCGAAACTATTCCGCCTATCTAC